ACTCCATTTGGTGCTTGGCTGAGTTCTTTATCTCTTCATTTGATGTTTTAGGGTTTCAGGATTGTTGTATTCTCTGTTCGGCTTATTTTTTCAGATCTTTGCTGTGGAGGGACGGCGTGGTGCTTCTGCCTAGAGCCCCATTTTGCCGGAACTACCGGCAATATTTTTTTAATGTAATTGAGAATATTGTTTAGAATTTTGAAAGATTTTCTTCTATTTCTTGTGCAGTAAAGGAAGATATAGGCAACCTGTGGGGACCCACTTCAATTCCTGGAGCATGGGTGCCTTACACGGGGGTGAGAGCGCTATAGTTTGTTTCATTAAAAAGTTGCCTTAAAAGAAAATCCGCATCTGGTATGGAGGCCCATAGTTATTTTTCACTGCATCCAGCTTCTTTCTTTGACTTCATTGTCCATACTCTTGAGCTCTTGAAGCAGTTGCCCCCTTTATGGAGAGAGCGCTTACCTTCAGTTTTCATCCCAGCTGGCTGCTGCTGTGTCCATACAATGTGGGAATCCCCCAAAGGTGGTCTGACTCTTTCCATCTATTGTCCTGTTTTTTCTCTTCCATTTATGGCCCATATATTCCCTCACTGCCCACTTCGTCTCCTTGTCACTGATGACTCTGAAGCTAGAGGTCTTACTTAGAGGATGCCTGCTACCTTTGCCCAGTTGTCTGTTTGTATTTGCTCCTACTTCTCCTGTTTTATCTGATGTCCTGTATATCTTCTGAAATTACTGAAAATTTCTAGTCTACCCTTTCTGTATTCCACTGTTAGGCATTTTTTTGTTCATTTTCCATTTTTCCCAACTATGTTTTCAAGATAGGGGGAGGTAAATGTATGTGCTACATCTACCAACTTTAAACCAGAAACTGTCTCCCCTCTTACTTTCCAAGATTCCACACTTTCCTGGTTCTATTCCTACCATTCAGAACATTACTTTTTAATTTTCATGGCATATTGGTGTCCCTTCCGACCCTGTACTTGGTGCTTCCCTCAAACTCTGCCCTCTCTCAGCCATTCAATTTCATCTGATGGCTTTAGCTAGTACTGAAATGCTCTTGTCTCCCAAACCTTGACTTCTATGCTAGCCCTCTCTCCTGAGCTCCAGAATCACACATCCACCTGCCAGCTGAAATCTCTTATCAGTATACTCCATAAACACTCCAGTGTATGTCCAAGATCTATCTCAATTTCTTCCTCTGCCAAACGCATTGCCTTTCCTGTTTTGCTAATCTCAGTATATGGCATCAGCCTCAGCTCAGCTGCTCATGCAGTTACCCTGGGATTAACACTCTCCCTTTTTCCCACTTGAAAGGACTTCTGTATAAATTATAAATGTAAACATATTATGGGATGGTCAGAAAATGTTCTGATGGTATAAGGAATCAAGTATTTTAGAGACCAATGATCTATAGAAAAAAAAATTAAATCCCTCCACTACCTGGCCCCTGAATGTCACTGTAGTCTTTTACCTCATCATATCCTGAAGCACTAGTCTTCTGTCATACTGTGCTGTGTGTAGTTCCATGAACTTTCTTTGTATATTTTATATCTTTCTGCCTTTTCTTATGCTATTGCCCCATATTCATGAGGGAAATGATATTCTTGTTTAAGGATTCAAAGCTCTACCTCCAATCTAATAACACAAAGCGGAATTCATTTCCATCCCTTGTGAAACCCCAGTGCACACTGGTCACATGTCAAGCATAGCTCCTGTAACACCTCATTGCAGGTATGTGTTCGTATTCAAGTATCCTTACCAGGGTATGAGCTCCTTTGAACAAGCTGCATGTCTTACCCATTTTCATTTCCCTAGTACTTGGATATGTCCAAGCATATAATGTCAGCTCAGTAGTCTCGTTAGTCTTTTCTTCATGAATTAATAAATTAACATACTAGCAGGGCTTTTCTGTCTCCTTCCCCTAAAGTATAATATCAAGCAAGACACAGAGTTGGGTGTCCAGTGTAACTTTTTTTGGTGAACTCTTAACGGTGCTAAATTGAGAGAGAATTAGTTCCCACACATCTTTTCCATGTCTCCCATTCTGATGATTGCAGATTGTTGTTACAGGGATCAGTGTCATTCGAGGACGTGGCTGTGGATTTTACCCGGCAGGAGTGGCATGGACTAGATCCTGCTCAGAGGACTATGCACAAGGATGTGATGCTGGAGAACTACAGCAACCTGGCATCTGTGGGTGAGGATTATTGTCCATGTAACTCCTGGTAGCATGTGTTTCTCTTTCTTGGTTTCAGTAATGTGTGGAGTCTCTGTAGAGTTTGATGATATTTTATTTTCAGATTCAAGGGTCACAGATGATTGATCAGTTTGGGGCACCAAGAAGAATGTATGTGTTCTCACTTCCCCAGTGAAAGTTTTAAATGGGCCCCCTTCCCTGTACAGCTCTTGAAGATGCAGTTCCTCTTCCATCAGAAGTCCTAAAACTCAGGCAACTTGGCCGATGTCCTATTCCATTTCCCATTAACAGGCCTCTGCGTGGCCAAACCAGAGATGATCTTCAAGTTGGAGCGAGGGGAAGAGCTGTGGATATTAGAGGAGGAATCTTCAGGGCATAATTACTCAGGTGAGTGAGCGAGAACCAGGCAGATGGAAAATAGGGAAAATAAGATTCCAGGAATTCAGGTCAAGGGTTATTCTTGTAAAATATCTTTTAGGAATCTCTTTTTAGAGGGCCTAGCTCTTTGAAAATGGCTGGAAGACAGAAGGTATCTTCAGATACCTAAATAACACATTCCATTATCACCCTCACACTTAAATGCTCTCAGATTTTATCTTGAGTTTTGTAGGGATTTTACCACTCTTACCTGTCCCTACCTGTCTCGTCTTAGATATTTATTCTTATTAGTCTCTCTTTTTAGTGTTCTCAACTGCCTTCCTTCCCTCCATTGCCTTGGATACTTTCTGTTGTTAGGCATTCATTCGTGCATTCATTTAGTCATCTAACAAATCTTAAAGGAGTGTCAGTTATATATTGGTCACATTTTAGGTGTGGGGATCCAGCAGTGAATAAAATAATATTTCTGTTTTCCTGGAGCTTGCAGTCTAGGGAAGGAAAGAAAAAACAAACAAACAAATATATAATTTGGTGGTGAAAAGGAAATTAATGCAAGATAAGAAGGATAGACAATGATGGTGTATGTGCTTTTAGGTAATGTGGGCAGGGGAGGCGCTTCGATGAGGTTAACTTTAGGGCACAAACATCAATGAAGTGAGAGAGAAAAAGCCATGTAGATTCTGAGTATTCTGGACAGAGCACAAATGCCAAACCTAGTCATAGTGGTATATCCTAGGAATAGCAAGTAGGCCAGTGTGGCTTGAGGGGAATGAGTGAGGGTGAGAGTGTTAAGAGGTGATATCAGAGAGTCAGCAGGGGGCCAAATTATGTAAAGTTTTATAGACTGTGTTAAGAACTTTAAATTTTTACTGTGACAAGGCAAGCCATGGCTGGGTTTTGAGTGAAAGTGACATGATCTGATTTGTTTTTAAAGGCTCTCTCTCACTGCTGTGTGGCAACAATTCTGTTGAGGGTAATGCCCTTTTGCTTGATAAGGACATTCTTCAGCATCAGAAGATTCAAACTTTGGATCAAACTGTTGAATATAATGGCTATGGGAAAGCCTTTCATAAGAAAACAGACTTTGTTAGACATAGGAGAACACACACAGGAGAAAAAAACTTTGAATGTCATGAATGTGGGAAAACTTACTGCAGAAAATCAAACCTTGTTGAACACCTGAGACTACACACTGGGGAGAGACCCTATGAATGTGGTGAATGTGGAAAAACCTTCAGTGCAAGATCATATCTTGTTGCTCATCACAAAACTCACACAGGGGAAAAGCCTTTTAAATGTATTGAATGTGGGAAATCTTTCGCCAGGAAGTCACAGCTCATCCTACATCAGAGAACACACACAGGAGAGAGACCTTATGAATGTAATGAATGTGGAAAAACCTTTTCTGAAAAGGCAACCCTCACTATTCATCAGAGAATGCACACAGGGGAGAAACCCTATGAATGTAGTGAATGTGGAAAAAACTTCCGTACAAAGAATTCCCTAACTCAACATCAAAGGGTTCACACAGGCGAGAAACCCTATGAATGTGATGAATGTGGGAAAAACTTCCGTACAAAGAATTCCCTAACTCATCATCAAAGGATTCACACAGGCGAGAAACCCTATAAATGTAGTGAATGTGGGAAATTCTTTAGAATGAAGATGACTCTCAATAATCATCAGAGAACTCATACAGGTGAAAAACCTTATCAGTGTAATGAATGTGGAAAATCTTTCAGGGTGCATTCATCTCTTGGTATACATCAGAGAATTCACACAGGAGAGAAACCTTATGAATGTAATGAATGTGGTAATGCTTTCTATGTTAAAGCACGCCTCATTGAACATCAGCGAATGCATTCAGGAGAAAAACCTTATGAATGTAGTGAATGTGGGAAAATCTTCAGTATGAAGAAATCCCTTTGTCAACACCAGAGAACTCACACAGGACAGAAACCTTATGAATGTAATGAATGTGGAAATGCCTTCTATGTGAAAGTACGCCTCATTGAACATCAGCGAGTTCACACAGGAGAGAGACCCTTTGAATGTCAAGAATGTGGGAAAGGCTTTTGCCGGAAAGCACACCTCACAGAACATCAGAGAACGCATATCAGCTGGTCCTTATCTTGTACAATTGACAAAGCTTCTGCTTGAAGACTCCCTTCACCATTTGATCAATCCCCTTGGGGTGTCTGGGCACCAGGGCACACAGAGTGCACCTGTAACAATTTGGCAGCTACATTGCTAGAAAAAATGTCTGAGCCCCTCGGGATAGCTCTTGTTGTTTTCATTTGGATTTCCCTAAATAGTGGTGAGGTTGACCATCTTCTTATCTGTCGATTGGATATTTGAGTTTTTTTTTTCTGTTGCGCATTGACCGTTATATCCTTTGCTCATTGTTTTTTAATGGGTTGTTTGTCCTTTAGTTCTTGGTTTAAATGCTGTTGTTGGTTTTTTTTTTGTTTGTTTGTTTTTAACATATGAGGATATAAAAAATCCTTTGTCAGTGATGTGCGTTGCCAATATTTTGTCCCAGGCTGTGCCTTGTTCTTTAATTTGTTAACTCTTCTACTGAAGTTTTATGTTTAATATTATCAATTTCAGGGCGATAATATTCTCCTATACTTTTCTCTGAAGTATAAAGTATAGTGCAATATATAATACCATGCTGTCTTTCTAAAAGCTTACATAAGTGGCATCACACTATTTTTAAAGTTCTGCAACTTGCTGTTTTTACGTAATTTTACCTTTCTAAGATCTATCCATGTTGATAAATATAGGTCTGGTTTATTCGTTTATCTCTCCATTCCCCTAGTGAAGGACATTTGTAGTGTTTCTGTGTTTTGTGTCTAAACCTATAAGTGGAACTGATGGGTGTAGGCAATGTGCCAGTTATTAAGCTACTGTCTCCCAGTTCCAAACCCACCCTTCTATACTGTGCTTTGTGATGTTGGGGCTGTGACTCTACAATTTACATTTCTGTCTTGCCAGCTGCTGTCTGTTCTGCCTTTCCAATAAGAGATACTAGAGATAATCTTTGAGGCTGGAGAAGGAAGAAGATACTTGCTCCTTTTTTGTTTTCCTTCCTGTCATTGGGGTGTCAGCCCAGCATTGCTTCTTCATTTGGACAGTGCAGTTTCTTGCTGTGGCAGCAGTTTAATCCAGTTTGCAGTTTTCTAACACTCACAGAATCAGCCTTATGGCAACCTATGCCCTTCAGGGTCAATGGCATCAGCTGGCTGGTACCACTTCCTTAGAGGTCTGAGTCCTAGCCACATGGGACCCCTCCTTGACCCTTCTTGGCTGCTATCTGAAAGGTCAGCAGTTCGAACCCACCAGTTGCTCCACAGGAGGAAGATGTGGCAGTCTGCTTCCAGAAAGATTACAGCCTTGGAAACCATATGGAGCAGTTGTACTCTGTCCTATAGGGTTGCTATGAGTTGGAATTGACTTGATGGCAATGGATTTGGGTTTTGGTTTTCCAACTTTTTCTCTTTATTATCCTAACCTAGCTGCTGCTTACAGTTGCTACCTCCATGATAACTTTAGTGTTCTTTTTCTATCTTTCCAGTTACATGCTTAACAATTTCATGTTGTTAGCTGCCATTGAGTCAATTTCAACTCATGGAGACCCCATATGTTACTGAATAGAACTGCTCCATAGGGTTTTCTTGGCTGTAATCTTAACAGAAGCAGATTGCCAGGCCTTTCTTGCGCAGTACCACTGGGTGGGTTCGAACCACCAACCTTTAGATTAGCAGTTGAGTGTAAACTGTTTGCGCCACCTAATTCTTTATATTAAGTTCCCTTTGTAAAATAACTGGTGTGCTTTTTGAGTGGGCCCTTATTAATACATAAAATTTTCAACTTTATTAAATATTGAATTTTTTCTCCAAGTTATATTAATTTACATGCTCAAAAGCAATTTTAGGAAAAGTTTCCATTTTCCCACATATTCACTGGAACTTATTATCAGTCTTTAAAATTTTTTGGCAAACAGAAAGGTGTGAAATTGTTCTAAGCCTTCCCATTCATGAATATGGTTTATCTTTTCATTTTTTTATTTCATCTTTTTTGACCTTCAATGATATTTTATGCTTTTCACAAAGATATTGTCTTTGAAAGTTAATCTTTTAATAGCAACTTTGCTTGTATACATGTACGTATAAAATATATATGAGGTACCATATTTTTACGCAAATAACACATGCCTTCTATGTTTACCAACTGATCCCCCTTGCTAAGTATTTTTGTAAGTGCACTATGCCAATTTTTTTATAGCAGCATATTAAAAAAAACTGGCCTAGCAGCTATTATGAAAATACCTCACAGCGGGGAGGGAGTGGTTGGCAAACAAACATAGAAGGTGCATGTTATTTGTAAAAATACGGTATTATGAGGTTTTATATCTATTTATTTGGAATATGTGTATATATATCAAAATGTATTATGGAGTTTTATATGTATTTATATGTAGTATTTGTATTTGTGTGTGTGTAATCTTCCCCAAAATTTTTTTTTATTTTATATGGGCAGTATTCATTTAGTTTTACCCACATGTTCACCACTTTTGTTGCTCTTCATTCCTTTTTGCATTCCATCCAGATTCATTTTCTTCTTTGCTTGAAGAATACTATAGAATTTTCTTTATAGGGATCTGTAAGTGGTGAACTTTTCAACTTTATCTGAGAATGTTCTTTATTGCACCTTTTTTTGACAAGCAAAAGTGAATCCTTTACCTTTAATGTTTGGTAGTGTGATACCAGAGTAAATTGATGCTAAATTAAATACTTATGTTTTTGCTGTTTTTCTTAATGTCCCCCAATAATTATGATGACCCAGGGCCTTCGAATTAATATCAGATATCCCAACAGAGAGCATAAATTTGAATATGCATTTTAAACTTTCTGTATTTTGTATACAGCATTCCCTCACCCTCATTTACTCAGTATTAATTTATCAAGATGCCATCTCATCAGTTCTTCCAATCTTCAGCTTACCCATTTAAAAATTAAATTCAATGTTTTAAAATTTTATTAACAAAAATATCAGAGATACACAAAAATAGTCTATAGTGCCAGAAAGCAGATGGTTGCCTCTAGGGTAGGAATTGACTTGTAGAGGAAAGGTAGGAACTTTCTGGTATGATGGAAATGTTCTGTATTTTGATGGGAATGTATGTCAACAGGGATGTATACAATAGTCATCAAATGGGTATATTTAAGATTTGTGTGTTTCATTGTGTGTAAATTATATCTCAATTAAAATTTAAAAACAAAACAATAAAAAGTTCCCTCTTCCCACACCAGGAGTCAGACTTCAGCTCCCTGGGAGAAAACCAGGAATCTCAACCACCAGATCAGATAGAAGACACTGGCAGTGAGAGAGTCAGTCTTTTTAAGGCTTTAGAAGTTGTCTTGCCCCATGAAAATAACCTTTACTGAGGCCTACTGTATATGGTGATTCCCCCATTGGCCAACACCATAGTCTATATGACTCCCAGTAGTCTAAGCATTGTTTGCTGATATTCCTCAGTGTTTTTGACTTCCATGACATGTCAGCACAGTGTCTACTAGCACTCCATTGGCCTACAACAGTCGTTTGTCATCCCTTCTAGGCCAGAGCACACTGTCTGCTGACCTACCATTAGCACACAACATCTTGTTTTATCACAACCTTTGCCCCAGCAGAATCTGCTAAACTCAAATCAGCCTAGACACTGGTTACCTTAGTTCTCTAGCTATCTCCTAGATATTTTTAGGTACTAAATGACATTTGGGGATTGATTCTTCTTCCTTTTGGCTGATCTAGGGTCTCTCTTGACTTTCCTCCAACTACAAGGACTGTTCCCTGGCCCTTCTATCTTTTTGATAATCTGACTGTTCACATCACTGCAGTGACTGTTTCCTGGTCCCTCTGGCTGTTTTCTAGTGTCCTGGGATGTTCCCTCAGCCCTGGGGCTATTCTCTGGAACCTCAGATTGTTCCTGATGTTTCTTGCTGTTTCTCAATACTTGGAGTAGATTACCTTACACTCCCAGTTGTTACCTCAGTCTTGGATATGTTCAGACTTCACATTGCCTGGTCTCCCCAACTGCTTCCAAACCCCAAGGACTGTTGTATACTCTCAATTTGGCATTCAGCAGAAGTAGGAATTATAAGTTGCAGGGGGAGCACCTTCACGGGGAAGCAGACCCTACAGGAAGGCTACCTGCTTCAGAGCCCTAATGTGGGCTCCTGGCAGGATCTGTAGTCTTGGGGTCACTGAGTTCCCCCATCACCCTTCTAGAAAATCCATTAAAGAGAGCACCCCTCCCCCAGCCTTTGTATTTCTTATGTGAGTCTTTGCTTGGGAGAGACTCTGATGGCTTGAGAGGAAGCATGTGGGAGTTATAGCTGTGTGAGATGTTGTCTGAGTCATCTAGTGCTGTTCCAACAGAACTACTGCAAGTGGATGGCTTTAACAAAGAGAAGTTTATTGTCTCACAGTCCAGTAGGCTACAAGTCCATATTCAGGACGTCAGCTCCAGGGGAATGCTTTCTTTGTCGGCTCTGGAGGAATGTCCGTGTCATCAATCTTCCCTTGGTCGGGGAGCTTCTCTGTGGAGGAACCTCAGGTCCAAAGGATGCACTCTGCTCCCGGCACTGCTCTTGTGGTGGTGTGAGGTTGCCATGTGTCTCTGTTTGCTTCTCTCTTTTATATCTCAAAAGAGATTGGCTTAAGACACTGTCCAATCCTGTAGACGTCATCGGTATAACCTCATCATAGCAATAGAGTTTACAACATAAGGAGATCACATATAACCTCATCATAGTGATAGAGTTTACAACACATAAGGAAATCACATCAGATTACACAATCACACAATACTGGGAATCATGACCCATCCAAGCTGACAGGTATTTTGGGGGGACACAATTCAATCCATGACAGATGTGGAGCATGGGATCCAGCTCAATGGGTAGCCTTGGGAACAATCCTTACCTCACCTGAGCCTCAGTAGTTCTCCCCAGATAATGGGCAGTGCATTCCCTACTGGGTTCAAGGATGATTACTTGATGTGTTTGCCTTATAGATATTTCTCAAGTGAAAACTCACAAAATTCTTATAACAATAACTTAATGTGTAAAATTACTAACAGTGATTTAATTTCTAGGCAGACAGTGTAATGTAATGGTTAAGAACATGAACACTGGAGCCAGATCTATATTCAAGTCCTGCCTCTTAATGACTTCTTAGATATGACACTAAAAGCACAAGACAGAAAAGAAAAAATGGATAAATTGAACTTCATCAAAATAAAAAACTTTTGTGCTGTAAACAATACTATCCAGAAAGTAAAAAGTCAACCTACAGAATGGGAGAAAGTATATGCAAATCATGTATCTAATAAGGGATTTATATCCTGAATATAAAACGAACTCTTACAACTCAATAATAGAAATATAAATAACCCAATTAAAAATGGGCAAAGGATCTGAATAGACATTTCTCCAAAGAAGATATAAAATTGGCCAATAAGCACATGAAAAAATGTTTGATATCATTAGCCGTCAGAGAAATGCAAACCAATACTACTTCTCACCCACTAGGATGGTTATAATTTTTTAAAAAAAGAAGTGTTAACAAGACTGTGGAGAAATTGGAACCCTCTTACTATGCTGGTGGGAATGCAAAATGATGCAGGCACTGTGGAAATCCATTTGACATTTCCTCAAAAAATTAAACATAGAGTTACCATATGATCTAGCATTTCCACTCCTAAGTATCTACCCAGGAGAAATGAAAACATGTCCATACAAAAACTTACACAAATGTTTATAGCAGCATTATTCATAACAGCTGAAAATGGAAATAACCCAAATACCTATATCAACTGATAAATGAATGAACAAAATGTGATATATACAGTCTCTGGGTGGTGCAAATGGTTAAAATGCTTGGTTGCTAACCAAAAGGTTGGTGGTTCTGGTGTACCCAAAAGTGCCACAGAAGAAAAGCCTGGTGATCTACCAAAAAATCAGCCATTGGAAAACCTTATGGAGCACAGTTCTACTCTAACACACATGGGGTCACCATGAGTCAGAATCAACTTCACAACAGTTTTATATATATATATATATGAATATTATTTGGCAATAAAAAGGTATTAAGTATTTATTGATATATGCTACATTAATGAAATTTGAAAACATGTTACAGAAGGCAGTTGCAAAAGACCACATATATTGTATGGTTCTATTTATATGAAATGTCCAAAATGGGTGAAACTATAGAGACTAAAAGTAGATTAATAGTTGTCTAGAGTTGGGGGTGAGGAGAGATGGGAGGAATGGGGAATGGCTGCT